ATGGAGAAGCAAAAATTTATTTTATGAATCCAAAGAGGCAATCTTCATCTATGTTCTGGCAACTTTGCATCGCCGCCTGATAAGCAGACAACAAACAAGCCGCCCTTTTATTGACCTAGTTAGATGCGTATTGTTACGAAATCAGCATGGAGCAAAAAGCTAACATCAAATTCTGTTCAAAACTCAGAAAAAGCGCCGTTGAGACAGTTTAAATGATACGGGAAGTTTATGGGGATAATTGTTCATCTCCTGCAAAGTTTTCAGGTAATATTCACGATTCAAAAGGGGTGTGGAAATGATTACTAATGCAACTAAACCTGGACGCCCAATTTATGTTCATAATGAGGAACGCATTGCAAAAGTCAGAGAATGGATACAAGAAGAAGATTGTTGATTTACTGTGAGGTTGATGGCAGGTGAATCTTGTGTTAATAGAGAGATCTTTAGTAAAATTTCACTGCAAAATTCTGGCAAGAAAAAAGTTGCTTGTATGTTTGATGACCAAAAACATCAGCGAGGAGTACCCAAGAGACATCATGAAAACAAGAACTGTTGGCCCCAAAACAAGTGTGTTCTCAACCATCCACCCTGTTTCCCAGATTTGTCTTCCAGTGATCATTTTTTATTTCCACAATTCAAGTTACAATTGAAAGGACGCTTCTTTGGCTAAATTGATGTAATCCAAAGGGCCGTAACATCGACTTTAAGGCTATAATAACAGAAGAATTACAGAGGTCGTTCCAGTGTTTGTTAGATTGTGCCACTTGCTATATCAATTCACAAAAGGCTTACTTTGAATAAAATACAGGTTATATCTGTAACTGTTGATTATTTAAATTTTTTATGAAATTAGTCTCATTACTTAATTGTCGGACCTTGTTTCTTTAATGTGTTAACAACCAGTTTACAGTCGACGGGATCGACTTCATTGCATAGGTCTTAATCCCATGTTGTCAGTCATATTTTGTTTGAATAATGTGACTTAGCCGTTTAACCGCTAACTGGACGGCTAGCTTTTCCTAGATGGCATCAGTTATAATTACGGCTCTTTTTCATGCTATTTCATAGGGAGATTCTTAGTGTTGGGATTCTAGCCTCCTATCTCTGTCGAACCAAGTTTTTTTTTTTTTGGTAGGGCCGTAATCTTAGTGCTGATTGTTGCCGGATTATGGCGCTTCTGCCATTGGTTGCTGTCTTCTGTTTCATTTAAAAAGTGCATCTGCTAGTATGGTCGCTGTTTTGAAGTTAATAAGGTGGTTTGTTTCATTTTTTTGATATGACGGTGATTTCCATTACGGCATATACGAGAAGGACTTCAGTGGTTCTCGTGATCTTGCTCTGTCATTCGCACTGTCCTCTGTATCTGTCTTCATCCATGTCTCCATTTTGAGATATTCCATGCCGTCATCTTATTGCTGTCTTGGTGATACTTCCTCTGTACAAGGTGGATTGATGCTGCTTTGTAGAACCTGTAGACTGCCAGTCGACCTTGTTCTTAGTGCCACTTCTTTCATACAAGTAGTTTTCTTGGGAACGGCTGCTCTGCCTCTCTCAACCAGTCTTTGTTTTGGCTTTGTTGTTTGTGTCTCTTGAGTTTTCTTGTTTGTTTTAAGTGGTCTTACAACCTTGCTGTCGATTGATTCTTGTTGTACTAGAGCTGTGTCTCGTTTTTCTTTAACTGGTCTGTCTGATCTTAAAATCTGGACGTCCAACAAGGTGTCGCTCCTAAATGCCTCATATCTTTTTTGGGTTTCTTTGTAGGGTAGGTTCTCTTCGATGGCTCTTTCCACTGTTGTAGATGAGGGCAGACAAGAAAGAATCGTACCGCTAATCCCACACTTACTGCCGCTTCCACCTATTGTCCGAACTGCTCAAGAACTTCCCAGCCTCATATTGGACTAAGCAGCCCCTCTCGTACTCATAATCATTGATCATTGCTAATTTGGATGAAAAGTATTCTTCGCCACTCCTGGTGGACGAACAACAATAACAACTGATAAGGGCATCCCGTGTATCTGACAACATGTAGTCCGGAGCAATTTGCGCATTTCCTTTTTGTGTTGGGCTTCCAGAAATAGCTGTCTATCTTGGCCTTTGAAAAAAAGCTGTAGGTAAAAAGGTTCCGAACAAATATCTGCATATCTCCTGTTTGCTGAGACCAGTCCTGGAATTCCAGACCTGTCAGAGCAAACATTGCAGTAAAAGTGGGATATAATGCTCTGGTCTTTATGGTCTCTTGCAAACATCTGTGTCCGGGTTAAAGTCGCCTTGTCACCACAGCCACTGTTGTAGGGTTGTGTTTGGATCCCGGTCGCTCCACCTTGATGATGAGTAATTTTGTGTTTTCTTTCTGAATTTAGTCTTGTATTTTCTTGTCGATTAGTTGTAGCTAGATCCGACTGACAACTGTGACCCCTTATATGGTGGTAAGAGTGGCCGCCACCACCATCTCATTCGGTAGATGAACCTCGTTCTTGTATGTCTTCTTTATCTTCTGTAGCATTTTGCACGTCATTGTAATCTTGTTGAGTGAGGTATTCTCCATCTCAGGTTTCTTCAGCTTCACTATGGATCACGTTCCCCACATGCCCTCCATAGGAAGGTAGGCACTGCTTCTGGTTCCACGTTGGTCTGTCGAATCAGTGTTGTGGTCGGAAATGTGTGATCATCGGTCGATTGAGATTCCATCATGTGTTCTGCGCCTTTCTGCGCCTCAGGCCCGCTGGTATGTCCCTCTTATTGCAGTTGTTACAGTGCTCTGCTTCTCGGTAGTATCTGGTTTGTCACCTCTCTCTGAGATAGTTAATTCTGCTGTTTGTGTTTTACTATGGTCATTCATTGTATTGAGCTGTTTCGTCTTGGTCTCTGCTGCATTTGATGTTTCTTTCATCGATGATCTGGTCTCTGTCGTATTCGGTGCACCAGAATTAGGGGAGTGGCTTCTGTGCCTCACCTTTTAGTCCCCTTCTTTATGTGAGTTATAACGTCTTGAAGATTTCCTATGTCTGGCCATGATAGCTGTCGTAGCTTGTCGACTTCCTGTTTGAATAGGTCTGTCGGAAGTCCTCATCCATCTGGACAAGTTTACATTCCCTTAAAAAAGCGAGGCTCTGTAAGTACTTACAGATGTCCTGTTTTGCTCAGACACGTTTATTTGCAATGCCAGATCTTCTGATATTTGGAACACTGTAATGCATGTTATATGTACTGCTTAGGTCTTTGTATCCTCTGTTCAATCATCACTTTGTCTGATATTTCACCGTCTTTTGTTGTCAACACCGCCAGCGTCGTTGAGGTGTGTCTTTATTTAAGTCACTCAACCTTGATGATTTTTAGCGCTAGATTTTTCGTTTTCCAAAAAATCTTGTATTTCCTGTTTGATTGCCATTTGATGCGTTTTCAGCCCAACGTCAGATATTGGGAAACATAAAGGCGTTTAACACCATCTTGTTCGGCAGCTGAAACTCTTTCTTGTTGCTTTCTTTTACGTCGTGGATTATCTTGCTTGTTTTCGTAGTCTAGTTGAGTGTGGTGACCACTATGTCTCTGGTTTTCCTTGGGCACATATCGCTTTCCCAACATGTTCTTCATAATCTTCAGTAGTGCCAGCATAGTTAGGGCAGTTTTTGACGCGTGTCGACACTGGTCTGTCGGATCATAAAGATTTCTGTAAATGCGATATCGTCAGCTGGTGAACTAACCGTGATGTCCTCTGCATTAGGTTGCTAGCTTTCGACGTCTGGCTGGTTTTTATCTGCCGTAGTTAGTATGTTAGGTTGCTTCTGCTTCTCTCGGGTATTGACAGGATCCTCTCTTGGTTCAGACCTGGACCCTCTGGTGTTGATGGCACTGGTTGTTTTTGTTTTCTGTTGTCTTGTCATTTACCTAATGTGAGGCTCGACGCCTGGTAGATCTTCTTTGCTTCAAAAATTTCCTTTATATTTCTATACAGAAATCTGATATCTTGGCAAGTTCTGATATCTTAAAAGTTCAGTGTAGTAGTTGGACGTGCAACTGACTCAGTATACTGGAAAACAGTCTTCTTTACACATAACATGATTGCTGTAACTTGCTTTGGTATCTGGTCAGTAACTAATATCTGCAGAAGTGAAGTCCTAAAATGAACTATTTTGAGTTAGCGTCGGCACAAAACAACAGACGCTCGGTGTCTTCCCACAGAACGTCTGGCTAGTCGCCTATCGACAGCCTATGAGATAGCACTAACTCCACAGCTCCAGACATGATTTTCATTGAACTCGCACAAATCGCACAGTGAACTGAACGAAGCAGTCCAGCGAAACGAACCTACAACCATATATATATATATATATATATATATATATATATATATATATATAAGCCCGGCTATAGCGAAGTTGGTTAAACCTGATTCTCGCGGCGGCCGGGTGACGAACTATTCACTATAGGCAGAAAAGCCACATTTCTCCCAGATTAACGGTACCTATAATACTTGTCGAAGGGTTGCGATATCATAGTACTCAGGGTTTACAACTCATGGTTCTGGATACGTTAAAAAAAAAAAAAAAATATATATATATATAAACTTGTGAACAGACGTCCGTCTGCTTTGGCCGGAAGCTGCGTATACGCATTAGCGTAGTATTAGTTTAGGTTATCCGAGGACCAACCTTCTGTACGGAAACTAAAATGCATGTTTTTGAGGAAGTTTGTTCCGAAACCGAATGTCTGAAGACAGATGGTTAAAGAACGATGTTCAACTGTACTATACTGACATAACTGAGATACTACTTTGTCTGCATAAGGCCCTAGGTTTGCATTTCAACACAGAGTTTGATTTTTCCCTGCGGTGGCTCGTAAAGGCGTAGTTGGCAGATTGTAGGGGGTTTACCGATAGACTGCAATATCTGAGCCTCTCAACTCAGCTCATCCAATTTATGTTTACCATACTTAGTTGCTTTAAGGGCAAGCTTTTGAGTCGGCTGTCTATTCGTTTTCTTCCAAAACAGGGCTCCGAGCAGCAAATGGGAACAAAAACTATAATGTCACCGGTGCCAGTGATACCGTCGTTATGAATCCTGACTCGTGTTGGACAAAGGTGACTGGATATCTCGTGTGTAAATGGAGAAGCTACCATTTCTACAACCAGATGGAATTTTTAAAGCGAAGGACGCAAAGATAGCCCAGTAAAACAATTTTTATATGATAAATGAACTCATGGATGAAAAGTAGCCAGCTGCAGTTATGGAAAGTCTGCAGGCTTTGGGTGACGCTGGAGACTCAGAAAGGGTGAGGGGGGTGGGGGGGGGGGAGGCAAGACGAGGAGTAAACCAGAGGACAACGGGTATCTATGTGCAGACTATTCGATGTCTGCTGTAGAAGGAGACGGAGCTAATATGGGTTTGTGCTGAACGCTGTGATGTCGAATCAAATGTGTTCAGGGGAATTATATGTGACACAGATGCATCCTGATGTCTAAAACCTGGAATTCTGATAGACAACTATATGAAACTCCTCTCGAGAGGCGAATGAGCGAGAAGGAATATGTCTGAAGACTTACTGGTGTATGAGTCTTGAGATTTCTAGAACGCGATTCTTTTTAAATAACTTTTTAGTTTTCCTTCTTCATTTCAGATATTAAACTAGGCCATTTTATCTACGTTTGCAGGGACCTCATGTTATTTGGCAGTCGGGATCCAGGGCAGCGTGTACTAAATTGGACTCTCAAAGACTTTTTTATACCACGGTACTTTTAGAGTTGTTTAAAGATATGAGAGATCAAGTTTTTTACCTGCAGACTTCAGACATGACCATAGCGTCACATAATAACGACAATCATCCGCCTCTGAAGTGGCAGATCTCAAATATGCTGACAGGATTTATATGCGGTAGACAATGGTGATTCTCGAGGATTTTGATTTGAATGTAGAACTGGAGAATAATCCGGGGATTCTTGGACTGATCATAATCCCTCTCCCATTTCATTTTGGAAAAGAAACGTGTGTGTGTATGTGTGTGTGTGTGTGTGTATATATATATATATATATATATATATATATATATATATATATATATGTGTGTGTGTGTGTGTGTGTGTGTGATTGAAAAGCAATATGTGCTTTTGGGCTCAATTTCTTTTATAAGCACAGACCCTTGTTCCTTTTTATCATCATCATCGTTATCAACGTATCTACGCCTTTTTATTCTATTACAACAACTGCCACTACTGTAACCACTTAACTTTCTCTGCAAATCATATATTATTAAACTGTACTATTGATGTTTAACATACTTACACACACACACACACACACACATATATATATATATATATATATATATATATATATATATATATATATATATATATATATATATATATAAAGTAAAGGACCCTTTCATGCCATTTGGGTAGATAGGGCTAGACCTATATTTTATAGACCACAACGGCACTTCCTGGGAGATGTGGTCAGCATCATCCCGGCCGCCTTTACTTCACATGTCGATCTGGGAGCCAAGGTCATTTTAAAAGAAACTCCGGTCATGGTCAGGAACTGAACTCACGACCTTTAGATCTTCAGGCGAGCCTCTAGCCACTTGACCACAGCAGCTCTCTAAATGTACGTATAAAAGTTATTAATGTTAAGTGAAACATTTAATTCGAAAGCTGTGTCCTGTAAATGAACTAATCCCAATAGCCGCTCGACTGCTAGCCTGAAAGTGATAAGCTCGACATACAGTCCGCATCAAGTGGGATTCCTTGTTCTTCTTCCAAAATGACCTTGACTCTAATGTCGAGCCAACCTAAAATCCATGCCGGGTAAAATCATGGGAAGCAAAGGTGACCGGTGGGATGTTGACCCTATCACACAGCCAGTACAGACTGGTCTATAAGATAGAGGTCTAGCACTACTAATATGTACCCAATACGTTCAGGGGCGTGGAATGGACTCACCAGAGATGAGAAAAGCGGAAAAGGGGAAGTGAGAAGCAGCACATATTTTCAAAATCTGTTTAAATCACTACTCATTTATGGTATCACGACGAGGACTGATATGTTGCAGCGGTCGGGGCATTTGGATAGAATGACCCATAAGCAAAAACAAGGCAAGCGGACTGTGGCGGGTCAACACCTTACTGACTGGGGGTCTCCCACCGTCGGAAACAACCCTTAGCGCCTTGCTCTTCGCCAGTGGAGCACATTTTAAAAACCGGTGGCTGCTGTTTCCCGTGTTGTGTCGAAGCTGTTAAACATCCCTGGAGTGACCCTCCATGACACAGGCCTGTGCACTTTGCTTTCTTGTACAGAATTTTGCCCAAGCAATTACTGAAAACTCAATTATCTTTTCATTGGCTATCTTACCTGACTTTGTTTTTCTTTTCAGCCTTAAATATGATTGACTGATTGATTGCCACCTTTCCGTCTTTCCAGACGATAGTGTTATATTGCGTTATGAGGAGGCACGATACCCACAACTCATGGCGTTGGCGAGTGTGACTAGCAAGACCCGCCCGTATAAAAAAAAAAAGTCTTCCACAATGATAGCATGGGAATTCAGGACCATTGTTGTCAACATTTGTGTTTAATCCTTTTTCTTTTCAGACGCTCAGCTCTCATCCTTTCTGCAATCATTTCTTTCTTCACTCACATTCCCTTCCTGATATGCCCTTTTAACACATCACGGTCCATAGCATTTTGTTCCAATGAGTCCACCTCGATACCTGTATCCTTCATGCCCCGCTTGGTCACATCATTATACCGTTGTAGAGGTCGGCCTAGACAGCTTCTTCCTGAATTTAATTCCCCATAAAAGTACCTTGTTGTTTGTGATTTTGTCCTGCTGCTTAATGCCAAGTATTCTTCTTAGGCATCGGATGTGAAAGCTATTGAGACGTTCGGTTATCATGGTGCAAATAGGCTGAGCAAGTTTAACAGCCATAAAGCAGAGTGCAAAAAACACAATCCTGATAGACATGGGTTTTTTCTTTTAATTTTGAGCTTTTTGTTCTCACAAACTCCCTTTGCCAATCTGCTCATTGTTGTTGCTGCCTTACCTATCCTGGTGTTGATTTCTTGGTTCAGCGATAGTTTACTATTCACCGTGGAACCCAGATAGGTAAATTGGTCTACTGTCTCGGGCTCTTCACCGTCAATGTAGACTGTAGGTCTGTCATTGACACCTTGCACAATAACATTTGTTTTCTTTTCGCTGACTGTTAGTCCAAATTTACAGCATGCATCAGCAAAGGCAGACAGTAAACATTGCAGCTCCTCCTCTGAGTGGGTGGTTATTGCCGCATCATTTGCAAACAGCAGCTCTCTGATGGGTAGTTTTCTTATCCTGGTTTTGGCCTTCAGCCTGCGAGCATTGTAAAGGCTGCCGTCAGATCAAGAATGAATGAATATACCACCCTCCTGATCTCGAAAGGCATGTGTCAAAAGAAGTGAAAAGTATATTCCAAAATGACTAGGAGCAAGTACATACACCTGCTTCACTCCATTTTTGATTACACACTCATCCGATGTTACATTATCAATGTAAATTGCACCTTTCATACCTGTGTGGAACGACTCAATAAAGCTGAGTAGAGTAGGTGGACACCCAATTTTCTTCAGTGCGGTTAACAGACCTTTTAGACTAACCTAATCAAATGCCTTGGTAAGATCAATAAAAGCAACATACAGTAGTTGATTTAGTTTGCGGAATTTTTCCAACTATGGTAATAAAAATATATTATCAGTGGTAGATCGGTTCCCACGAAAGCCACTCTGGGTAAACGTGGTCACCCAGGATCTGGAGTCTTCGCAGAACAATTCTCCAAGCACTTTTCCAACAATTAACAGCAGTGATATTCCCCTGTAGCCTTGAATAACATGCACTTAAAACACCAAAGAGACCACGGCAACGTTATTCTATCCTATGACGTCATCAAAGCTTTAGTGGAAAGTTTTCACGTTATGGAAACGACGATCTGAATCTAGGAACTTCTGATCTTTTCGTCGTCTTAATGAACTGTTGGAAAACAAAGTGTGAAAATAAGGAACTTGAAGTTGAAATTCAGTCAAATGTAGATTTTCTGGTAGAGGAGTTCGATCTCTATTTTTTCCACTTACCATTTGATGATTAGTCTTGGAATTATGCCATAAATAGCTAAATTTATATGGGTGCCATGACTTGTATGACCTGTATAGAAGCCAAGTCGAATACTTCTCAGATGTCTAGTACAAATCTAAAAATACCAGATGTACTGTATCTTTACCTTGTACTCATTTAGGTTACAATCAGTCGACCGACGCCATCCTGATGTTATCTGCTTAACTAACACTGTGTCTTCCTGGTACACACTGCCTCTCAACATTCACTTCTAGTGGTGTATCTTTTTGTTACCGCAGTATGCTAACCATTTGTAATATAAAGTAAATGTAAACTAACATTTCAATGCAGATTCGAACTTACGACATCCAGCTGGGCAGTTGTGTACACAAATAATGTTGCAGAGATCCACGTGGATCGTCACCGGAGCTACGTCGTTCGTGTTTTGTGCGACGCTCACTGCAGAGGTATAGCAATTTTAAAGAGAGATAACGAGCCATATGAGATAAAAACCTAGTCTAAGGAAGATGATATTCTTGATAACGAACTGATTTCAGATACCGTTTATACAAGAGATTTTGAGCAAACTGCATCTTTGGACCAACAAAGAATTCAATATCTGGAATTTAATAGAAGAAAAACATGTAATTACTAATTTGATAATTTAATTTATTACCATTACGAAAAGCAAAATGACTGATATCAAACACACGATTCCTTGCCAATACGTGCGCGTGATATGTAAAATCATATATAGCAAATCGACATACTGTAGGACCAAACTGTGCTTAGTAAAACCACACACAAACGCACACGTGCGCGCACGAGCGGGCACACACACATTCACATCATCATCATCAGGTGCCTTGCCGACTTACGTGGGCTATCATGCCTCTCCATAATACACGATCTCCTGCAGCATGTATCAGTTCGTGTGCCGACACACCTCCATACTATGCAACAAGACTGTCAAGAATCTTCTCTCATTGTCTTCCTCTATCCCTCCTTCCACAGATCTTTCCAGTGATCACAACATGTTCTATTTTCCCTCTTCCCATAATATGCCGAAAGACCATATCTCATAACACACATTCACACATAAAGTAAATGCAGGGTTTGATTTGGGAAACGTGAAAAAGACACGCAAACAATATGCAGACTAACTGAAAAATACACACTGGCAGAGGACTTGTGTTCTCTGTGAGGAGTGGAAATAATTTCACTGAATTGGGGAGAGGGTGGAAAGGGCGGGGGGTGGGGGGGGGGGGGGTTGTCAGATGAGGCAGATTACAAAGACTAGATACAGACATTCAATCTTTTTTAAGAAATAAGAGAATAAATTGAAGAATTTAGTGATTGCTAGCTGGTAAAAGTCACTGAAAAAGAGCAAAGGAAGGAAAAAAATAAATGGTTTGATGTCCAGACTATACGTATGGGGTCGGACAGGAGTAATGAACTAATCGGTCTATTTTTAGTTTTTCCTTACGCTCACCGGCTGTCAGTTCAGGCAAAAAGTCCAGGCTGTTCGTCCACGTCTTGACTTTAGTCTTGTTTCAGAACTTGAGTTTTGCATTCACATCTGTTTTACGCTTTAGAGCTTATTGGTAAGTAGGCTGTTAATTCCTCTCCTTTTATTCCCATGCACTTCGACTTCGAATGAAAAACTAATTATTCCCCTTTACTACATACTTGTTAAGACGCAGTAGGTCTATGGGAGCCCAGAACTCACACACGGAAATCGAATCAGTGATTCTGGGGATCGCGTGGGAAGGTGAACTTATACCGGCTACGTTTATGGAAGGCCACATGATGATGATGACTATGACAAGAACATGAAGATAATTTAGTTTTACGTATACAGAGTATATAAATAAGAGAGATATTGTCCAGACCGACCTGGAAATACTTGGTGTCATCAGCTGGAAAGAGAAGGCTAACCAGAGAAATGAATGGAGGCGGGTGATATCTGCAGCAATGAACCTCAAGGGCTCGGAATGCTGAAGAAGAGAAGAAGAAGAAGAAGAAGAAGAAGAAGAAGAAGAAGAAGAAGAAGAAGAAGAAGAAGAAGAAGAAGAAGAAGAAGAAGAAGAAGAAGAAGAAGAAGAAGAAGAAGCAGAAGAAGAAGAAGAAGAAGAAGAAGTATACAGAATATATATCTAGTATCTGGTATGTTTACACTTCTGATTAATCTTGTAAATATTTTAATTTCAAGCGAAGAATCCGATCACAAAGGATGCAACTGTGACCAGAAGGATCGCATTGATATTGAGCACCCATCGTCCAGTCATGCTTTCATAAATCGATGTGTGTTTCTCTTCTATTGCTCTCATCTCAGCGTCTGTCATATGGTGCTCTTTTGACATCTTCTCAATGCCGCAAATCCACTGGAAGGCTGTTTTATACCATGATAATGTGTCAGAACCTAGAAACATAGAAAAGCGGATATAATAAATCCCCCCTTATGTGTGTGTATACATAATACATACACACACACACACACACACACACACATATATATATATATATATATATATATATATATATATATATATATATATATATATATATATATATATATATATATATATCAGTAACGGTACCTAATTTCACTGATTGTATATATAAAACAGAAACTGCATGCGTCATTCTGAATGTTGTTTGTTTGTCTGTCGCGATAACGCTTCCCAGACAGTCAACAGTAGCGACGTGACATTTGCAACTGTCAGTTTGGCTGTCATTTCCGGATTATTAACTGCCAACCAAAATGATGTGGGCTTTTAGTAAAGTACAGTCACGGATATATTTTCATTTCATCCGGTAATCCCGTGCAGCAGGGAACCAGCCCTGAGCTTCATGAACTCAGGAGGGCCCACCTCCGAATGCGTCTAGGAATCGTGGGCCGAAACGCGTGTCGACGAGGATAATTTCTACTGATGACTGGTAGATCCCTGCTGTACTTGCTCCCTGTGAGTTTATTCCTATCATTTCATCGTATCCGAATTGTCTGCCAGTGTCCCTCTGACACCTGCCAACAAAGTCCAACATGTGTCCTGTAAACCAAACGTAAGCTTGCCACTTGGTCGTCCAGGTAAGCTGATTGCTCTGATTATGCTACCGCAACGACTTCGTATCTCACAGTACCTTTTACAAAGTCACAAATTCATCTTGTCTCTGTCCAATAACATCCGGTAATGCGTGCAGCTGGAGAAACCAACCCTGAGCCTCATGAACCCAAATGGGCCCACTTTCTTAAAATGTCTAGGAGCTCGTGGGCCGAAACATTTGTCGACTAGAGATTACGTCTAGTGACGATTGGTAGACGGTAGACTCCTGCTGTACATGCTCCCCTGTGGAGTTTCTTCTTACTTATCATTCAACTTCCAAAGACCAGTTAGTTTAAAAACCTTCTATTTTACAATACTCAGAGAGAGAGAGAGAGAGAGAGAGAGAGAGAGAGAGAGAGAGAGAGAGAGAGAGAGAGAGAGAGTGAAGAAGAAGAAGCGAATGAATAAAGAATGAGTTATCACGGGTGAAGCCATATAATAAAGTGAATACACTAGGGGCGTTCAGAAAGTAATGCACATCAGCGAGAAGATGGCAGACTGGCTCGCCGGTAGACGACTTCTTCGCTGGTCGGGACAGTAATTGAGTATGTCTCAAATAGAAATAGAAAGATCATTAATACAAAATAAATATAACCGACAATGATCCGTGGGCCACTTTCTAGGACTCCTCTGGCCATTTTTGTCTCGTGGGCCGCTAGTTGAATGGCCCTGGCTTATATAATGTGTTTTGGAGGTTTTGCAGTCAACAGTGCTACAATGGTCGCCCGTGGATCACCTAACTAGGAGATACTGAGAACTTCGTCAACCCTCAGTGATGATCCAGTGTGCATGTTCTTATAAATTCCAAGATAAGATCCTTAATCCAAATGTTGCCCTTATCATAATCATAATTTTCAGGGAATAATTATTACAGTTTTAAGCTAACGTCTTTCAATGTTGACATGTTAAATTCATCACTAATCGTCATCATTTTTATTCGACTTTCTGATTTTTTCGTTTGTCACGAAATCTTGGAATATAGCTCAGCTGTTTGTCATTTAACCTGTTATGGGTTGAATTCAACAGACAATCATGACTAAAATGTTTATTGTTTTATTTGACAGAATGGTGGGCGTTCACTATTAGACGCATAGGTCGTGGTAAGAGTTTACTATAAGACTCATATGTTGTGGTTAGAATTCACTATCAGACGCATAGTTGTGGTAACAGTTCACTATCAGACGCATAGGCCGTGGTGAGAGTTTACTATCAGAGACATAGGTCGTGGTGAGAGTTTACTATCAGACGCATAGGTCGTGACTGGAGGTCACTATCAGACGCATATGTTGGAGTGGGAGTTCACTATCAGATGCATAGGTCGGAGTGGGAGTTCACTATCAGACGCATATGTTGGAGTGGAATTTCACTATCAGACGCATATGTTGGAGTGGGAGTTCACTATCAGACGCATAGTCGTGGTTAGAGTTCACTATCAGAGACATAGGTCGTGGTGGTAAATCACTATCAGACGCATAGTCGTGGTGAGGGTTCAATATCAGACGCATAGACCGTGGTTAGAATTCACTATCAGACGCATAGTTTGTTGTTAGAGTTCACTATCAGACGCATATGTTGGAGTGGAATTTCACTATCAGACGCATAAGTCGGAGTGGGAGTTCGCTATCAGACGCATAGGTCGTGGTGGGAGTTCACTATAAGACGCATAGGTCGGAGTTTGAGTTCACTATCAGACGCATATGTCGGAGTGGGAGTTCACTATCAGACGTATATGTCGTGGTTAGAATTCACTATCAGACGCATTGTCGTAGTGAGAGTTCACCATTCAGGTGCATAGGTCGGAGTGGAAGTTCAGTATCAGACGCATAGGTCGGAGTGGGAGTTCAGTATCAGACGCATAGGTTGTGGTGGGAGTTCACTGTCAGACGCATAGGTTGTGGTGGGAGTTCACTATCAGACTCATAGTGTGTTGTAAGAGTTTACTATCAAACGCATAGGTCGTGGTTAGAGTTCACTATCGGAAGCATAGTCGTGGTGAAAGTTCACTATCAGAAGAATAGTCGTGATGAGAGTTCACTATCAGAAGCATAGATCACGATGAGAGTTCACTATCAGAAGCATAGTTCGTGATGAGTGTTCACTATCAGACGCATAGTCGTGGTTAGAGTTCACTATCAGAAGCATAAATCGTGATGAGAGTTCACTATCAGATGAATAGTCGTGGTGGAAGTTCACTATCAGAAGGTTTTTTAACATATTCCTTTTAGGTTGAGAAAACACTAATAACAACTAAACAAAAACGAATTAGTTGACTGGTTTTTAAAAAATCCACAATTAACAGTAGCGTGCAATATTCTAAATTCTGGGCAAACTGTAAACAAGAAAAAGGCATTTCGAATGATTTACACTTTAGCACCGTAGATTATTGAGATTTGTGGAAGCGACCGCGATGAACCTGTTTAGATCCGAATTATGCATATAAAAGGACATGCTCTTTATCGTGGTAAAACATATAGTTTTTGAATTAGTCGATATTGTGTTTCAGAAAGAAGGATTCGTTTATTTTAATCAATTGTTACTTTAGTATGTACCTGACGAGATACGGAGAAATATTCATGGTATAAATTGTGCAATCTAATGTTTATGCTTGTTTTGTTCAAATTCACAAAAGGAAAACATTGGTTTAATATTTGTTTGTCTTTGTTTCTTTTGAGCATGATATACTTCAGTTATCATTATATCTGTTCTTTTTTCATTTTGTCCTTATAGTCAAATTTTATATTATTTAGCACTGAAACAAAATATGTGCCAGCCACGAAGTGGCTGATGCGTCACTTGCGCGAGAAAGGTCCCTTACCAGTAAATATCTTGGGATTCTCTTTCAAAATTTGTTGATATTACATGTATGTACACGACAAAAATGCGTGTGTGTTAAGAGGTATGCGCTGGTTTGCACTGAATTTACATGAGTTTGCATGCTGACTAGGTAAATACTGAAGCTATATGAATGTGTGTATTCTGCTTGGTTTATCTGGCCTAATGCTAAATTTATATGAATGTAAGTGCGATATTTACCTGATGAATGTATGCTGTGGTGTTTCTTCGAATTTTCACGAACGCATATATGCTTTGGAGTTTTTCTGGGTTAATACTGAATTTATGTGGAGAAGCATATATGAATGATGAATAGTTTATGTGAGTTAACAATGAATTTACATGACTTAGCATGTGTTGAAGAAAAAGAGTCTATGTGAGGTAACGTCGAACTGACCTGACTGAGAGTATATGCATGATGAGCAGTTTAGTTTAGTTTAGTTTAGTTTAGTTTAGTTTAGTTTAGTTTAGTTTAGTTTAGTTTAGTTTAGTGGAATGATCAACATCATAACACACGGATGTAAACCCATAAGTGCTCCGTTCTACTACTAACTCAAGCCAGAGTCTTAAGATTGTCAGCGCAGTGCGCGAACTCTGTTGCACCAGTGAGGATCCTTGAATAAAAAAAAAAAAAAAAATTTTTTGGGGGGGGGGGGGAGGGGGGGAGGGATGGGAGAGAGATTTTTAACTCCAAATTTTGCTCGGGCAACGCCATTATGCTACTCTTTTTAGATGTCCAACTGCCAAGGTATTTTTTACGTGCTCCACAATACACACGGGCGTTCGATCTTACTACCCAGAGACCAGGGAAAATTACAAGAAATCCACGTGAAGAAAATCCCAGCCTTCACAGGGGTTTGAACCTGGAACCTCTAGCATTCGAAGCGGATGCCATACCTCGAGACCACGCAGCAGTTGGTCAGTAAAAATATTATTTACACGACTTAGCAGGTGTGTATGATGACCAGTTTAAGTCAGTAAACATTAATTTTAAACGATTTAGCAGGTGTATATAATAAGAAGTTTGAATCAGTAAACATTGAATTTACATGATTTAGCAGGTGTGTATGATGACCAGTTTAAGTCAGTAAACATTCAATTTACACGATTTAGCAGGTGTGCATGATGACCAGTGTAAGACAGTAAACAATGAATTTACACGATTTAGCAGGTGTGTATGATGACCAGTTTAAGTTAGTAAACATTCATTTTACACGATTTAGCAGGTGTGTATGATGACCAGTGTTAGACAGTAAACAATGAATTTACACGATTTAGCAGGTGTGTATGATGACCAGTTTAAGTTTGTAAACATTCCATTCACACGATTTCGCAGGTGTGTATGATGACCAGTGTAAGACAGTTAACAATGAATTTACACGATTTAGCAGGTGTGTATGATGACCAGCTTATGATTGTGAATGTTAAATTTGTATGACTTGGCATGCCTATGTAATGAAGAGTCTATAACATTTAACACCTAAGTTTCATGAACTGGCAATTGTGTAAAGGGCAGGTTCTTTTTGTAGGTATGTGTGTATCGTGATAGGTTTCATGTAAGCTATTACTAACTTTACATAAGTGAGAATGTGTGTGATGCGTTTATGTGTGTTTTTCTGTAATTTACACAAGTAAAATATATATATATATATATATATATATATATATATATATATATATATATATATATATATATATAATATCTATAAAATTAGTTTATGTGAGTTATACTACTTTTACACAAGTAAAGACGTGAAAACGATGATTGTTTTTTGAGTTATCACTAAATTCACAGAAGTAGGGATGTATTTATAATGAGTTGCTGTGAGTTATGACCCAATTTACACAAGTAAGCACGATTGCACGATGTGGAGTTGCTCCCAAATGATGCATTAACAGACTCTTTTCTTACTATCTTGATAAGCCTCGCAATCCTCCACAGACTTAGCCACTGGCTTTTCTTCCTCTTCGACTTCTGAGATATCTATTCTTTGTTTGGTGCTGAAGCGATCCCAGTAGGTTAGTCTCTCTAGCTGTAAGATAACAAGAACGATCAGTCATATCAGTTGTTGATGACAAATAAAATACTCACTCACTGAAAGATTTCACTTCAGCCTCTGAACCCAAAGGACCAGATTTGAAAGATGATTTTGATTCGCATACGATAAATCTCTTGGGAATGATTTGTTTGTTCAGAAGTTAGCGGTAGTGGACCGATTGTCCAACATTTTTGTAACATTTGGACTTCTAGTAATTCCCCCTGGTCTCTGGGCAGTGAGATCAAACGCCAGTGTGCATTTTTACGCACGTAAAATAAATTCCTTGGCAGGCGGAAATCGAAAAAGAGTAGCCTAACGACGCTGCCAGGGCAAAATTTGGAGTTAAAAATACACCCAAAGTTTTTCAGGATTCTCGCCGGTGCTACAGAGCCTGTGCACTCAGACTTGAGTTAGAAGAAGAACAGAGAACTTATGGGTTACTACCCGTGTGCCATGATGTTGATCCTTTGTTCAAAATCTCAAAAATCCTCTCGTAAAATAGCGAAGAATAGGGATCTGGCATGGGCTTTTAGTGTGATTTGTTGTTGAGAAATATCTAATTTTTCCTCCAGATTCTGAACTATAAATGGGGAGAATATACTCTCTTGTGCAAAATTTTACGTGAGTTAAAGTTTGAGTGGCCTAAGGCACGGGAACGTCAGTTTGTGGTTTAAAGCCACGGCCAAAGAGCTCAGAGACGGTGTAATACAGTAAATAAGGGACACCCAAAACGAGACTCGGTCCAAAAACCAGAGCTGCAGTGGCAGCAAGGCAAGTGGATCGGCCTCGAGAGATCCCCATGCTCAGATGGGGTGAGATTTGGCATGTGGCCCAGCTGCGACTGAACATTGTCGTAACATCTGCTTACGATGTGTTACCGTCTGGCGTTAACATCGCCAAAAACCATGCGACTAAGGACTCCTGAAAGAGTTAGCGGAAAGTGTGGACCAAGCACGGATGAGGGCCAACGCGAGGGCCAGTCCTACCGATACCCGCATGCGCTTCCTCAAGGCTGGGCAGATTTATAAAGGTAAAATCAGCAAAGTGGCATACGCTCCTTCAATACTTGTCTGTGCGAGGGACTGGTTACTGGCTGTCGACCTGCCTGGTTTCGAGAGGTACCTAGAATCAATCCGGAAGACCGGCCTGAGACCTGACATGGTTCTGCACGCTGCGCGAAAAAACACCAGCTCATTCTGACTAAGCTGACCGTGCCGTACGGGTCGCAGATTGAAGAAAATCATATGTACAAGCTCGAGAAGTACTGTGATCTCGTGGCTGGTCTAAGGAGGGACGACGGGTACGTATTAAAAATCTTCGATGTCGAGGTAGGCGCAAGAGGTCTGATCTCCACTTCCATGTACAATGTACTAAAGCAGCTGGACTTGCGTGGAAACGAGCGTAAATAGTCACTAAAAAAACTGGGCAAGGCTTTAGAAGGAGCTTCGAGCTGGCTCTGGCTGCATCTGAACGTCGTGGATGACATGCCTCAGTAGACTGGTTCGAGTCCATAGTGGAAAAGAACGTCTTATTACTTAAAAGCCTAAGTGTCCGATAAATGTCTGCCGGTGTCTCTCTGCCAATGGCCAGAGTCTAACAATTTTCAGATGAATCAACCAAAAGGTTGTTACTCTGGTCGTGAAGGTAGTAAACTGATCTATTTTGCTACCGCAGCGACAAATAACACCAATCTCACAACACCTGTTGCAAAGTCACCATATCGCCTTGTCCCTATCGAGTCCGATGAAGTGCAGCAGGGCCTGGCTCTATGACCCAGGTCGGCCTACCTTCCGAGGTTGTTTAGGGAATCAATGGGCCGAAACAATTATCGACGAAGGATCTCTACTGATGACCGATGGACCCCTGCTGTGCATGCTCCGGTGTGGAGTTCTTCTTATTATCATAGAGTTAAAGTCGAGAAGATCAGCCTTAGCGCAGCGGGTTTTATCGCATATGGCTCGGTCTCTTTCTACAGAAGGGCTAGCTACCTCCTGGCAGCGTTGAACAAAGCATGCAACACGTGCACGCGCGTGCGTGTGAGCGTGTGCGTTTATGTGAGTGCGCACGTGTATGTGTGTGTGCGCGCGCGCGTTTGTGGATCTGTTCGCCAAGTTCAAGGATGAAAATCAAACTGAATGCGGAATCAAACCTAAGAACTTCACAATAACAGGCAGGTGCTTAACTACTGACGCATTACCATCTTGTACTAAAATAAGTTTTAAAAAAAAGAAAAAAAGTCTTAAATTCACATTTGGAAATATTAACAAACAATGTGCGTCTTACATGGACATCATCGATGGGAGCAGTTAAAAGGCTGATAGCAACGGTGGCAGCAACAACAATTACGAACAGGAGGATGCCGAAATGTAGGTAGTGAATTTTGCTGATGATGTCTGGCTTCTGATCTTTGTACTGCTCGCCACACGGGTAGTTCTTATAAGAGTATTCCCAACCAAACCTGATCAGACCAACACACAGACCAATCATCAGACCCCAAAAAGCTCCCTGAAAAAAAAATTAGGTGGAAATCATTCAGCGAAACAATGACAAGAATGGCTGGATTGACAGTCGTGTAATATGCTTTTGTACGAGATAACGATTATTGAATGAATGTTTTGTAAATTTAGTTGCAAATCCTTCAGAGTACAGTGTTGATTGCCTGTCTGTCTTTTTTCTAGATAATTTAACATTCAGTCGTTTACCAGTACTCTCTGTACGGTCGATGCTTACACAACTGTTTAAACCAACGCAAAGTGACCTGCTGCCAGTTGACTTCGAATCGCAGTATGTCATCATGTAGCAGGTCCTTTGCAGAACGTCGCTCTCATCACAGTCTGCCTGAAAGAAACTAGATCTCTCGCCAGTTCTCCTGCCTCATGAACTTTCACACTCAAGGATTCACTTATATCCTGTGCCCATCTTCGTGTCGCTCGGCCCCTGCCCCTCCTTCCTGGTACCATGCCTTCTGCTATAATTTTTTCCAATCCGTCGTGGCGCTTGATATGACCAAAATATTTCAGCTTTCGAGAAAGGATGCTGTTTATTAGCCAATCTTCCTTAATGTTCAGATCTTTTAAGATGTCTATATTTCTTATCTTCTTTGTCCAAGATATTCTGAGAATCTTTCTATAGCATTTCAGCTCAAAAGCCCCTATTCTCTTTCTTAAGGACTGAAAGATAGTCCACGACTCACATTCGTATGTAGCCACAGGGAAGATGCATGCTCTCAAAATTCCAATTTTTATCTCCTTGCTGGTGCTTAGCCATAGACTTTTAATGCTGTTCAATCTTTGCATTGCTATGGCCATCATCCTTTTAATTTCTGTCGAACTGTCTCCATTGTTGTTTATTATAGAGCCTAGATATTCAAAGTTTGTGACATTTTCAATTTCTTCATCATTTATTGTTATTTTTGGGTGACAGTCAGTTTTATCTGTGGACATTATTTTCGTTTTCAGTAAATTCAAGAACAGATTTTGATCTTTATTGTGCTTTTGGACAGACAATATTAAATTTTCTATTCCCTTTACACTGTTCGAAAGGAAGACTGTCATCTGCGTAGCGGAGTTCCGAAATAGGGTTGCCACCAATTTTGAGCGGATCATAACTGTCACAAGTCTGGTCATTTTTGACATTTCTTATTATATTTTCTGCGTATATATTGAATAGGTATGGTGAGAGAATGCACCCCTGCCTCACCCCCTTTTGCACCTCGAACCAATCAGATGTTTCACCAGCTGCTCTGATGGCTGCTTGTTGTTCATGATAAAGATATTCAATAAAATGCACTAAATGCGCTGGAAACCCCATACTTTTCATAATAGTCCACAGTTTGTGGTGCTGGACACAATCAAATGCCTTGCTATAATCAATAAAACAAGCAGTATGTAGGAATTATAAAACCAGACTCGTAACCCGTAATCCACAGTTGCTGCCCGTGTTCTGTATAAAATGTGCGTGGCAAATTAACGTGACAAGTGCATTTGACGTGCCTAAAAGTGTCTGTCTTTAGGATTTATATACTATTTAACATGATGTAGGAGCCAACACAGTTTTGTTCTTTTTATGCTAATGTAAGAGCTTTGCTCTTCTGCTTAAAGTTGAGGCAATGCTTCGCGGTTTCTTTATTTAGATTCTGTAATCAAATCAAATATTCCAACAAGTATTTTAAAGGTGATATATCAGCTAGACTTTTTGCACAAAGTTCAGACTTTTGTCCCTGAAGTGTTGTTCTATTGTATCTCCTCCTCCCCTTCCCCACCCAACCCGCTTTTTAGTATAAATGCTCCTTACACGCTTAGGACTGGAGCTGGTGTAGCTGTTACATGTGTCCTAATTATAGTTTCATTAGAGGTTGAACGGGTATCCTGGCTTGTCCTGTTGGTCTGTCATCAACATTGATATTCTTTACTTTCACAGTGTCACACTTCAGGTGTGGTTGGTCAGCCATCAACATTGATATTCTTTACTTTCACTGTGTCACACTTCAGGTGCTGTTGGTCGGCCATCAACATTGATATTATTTACTTTCACAGTGTCATACTTCAGGGGCAGTTGCTCTGCCATTAACATTGATATTCTTTACTTTCACAGTGTCACACTTCAGGTGCTGTTGGTCTGCCATCAACATTGATATCCTTTACTTTCACTGTGTCATACTTCAGGTGCTGTTGGTCAGCCATCAACATTGATATTTTTTACTTTCACTGTGTCATACTTCAGGTGCTGTTGGTCAGCCATCAACGTTGATATCCTTTACTTTCACAGTGTCACACTTCAGGTGCTGTTGGTCTGCCATTAACATTGATATTCTTTACTTTCACAGTGTCATACTTTAGGTGCAGTTGGTCTGCCATCAAGATTGATATTGTTTACTTTCACTGTGTCACACTTCAGGGGCAGTTGCTCTGCCATCAACATTGATATTGTTTACTTTCACAGTGTCATACTTTAGGTGCAGTTGCTCTGCCATCAACATTGATATTGTTTACTTTCACTGTGTCACACTTCAGGGGCAGTTGCTCTGCCATCAACATTGATATTGTTTACTTTCACTGTGTCATACTTTAGGTGCTGTTGGTCTGCCATCGAGACTTAGATCTGATTTCAAGCTCCAAAACTTTTCAGGAAGCAAATATGAAAACATGTACAAGTAAAAATACATTACACCTTGATAATATTATAACTTACTGTGTGGTTTAATTAGTTGGTTAGCTAGCTAGCTAGTTCGCCTTAGAAACTTTTAAAAAGTTCCCATCCGGGATAAAATACTGAAGACCTCCTCTCACGAAAGAAACAGATTATTATATTTTGACTATGTATAGACGCAACAGACTGCAGCCACTTTGTTGCGCGCTGATTTGTGTAATGTGTGATATTGTGTGAAGGGACAGTCGTATGAGAGGAATTCTGTAGTGCCACGAGAAAGTTGACGCGTGGGTTACTGTGGGGGAAAGGGGGGGGGGGGAGCTGAAAGCATGGCTAACGAGATAAACAGAGAAAGTGGGAATTGAGTGACTGCGTGATACTCAGGTAACATCAGCCACCCATATAAGCGTGATCCTCGAGAACGCCCACATGAGCGTGAGTCTCAAGAACACCCACAGGATCATGATTCACGAGAACGCCCATACGAGCGTGCCACTCGTGTAAACATCATCCACCTACACAAATTTGAGGGGGATAAATTGGAGGGCTGAGTAGTCAGTCGGAGGCAGTCAGTGCCAAAGAGAAGAGAGAGAGAGAGAGAGAGAGAGAGAGAGAGAGAGAGAGAGAGAGAGAGAGAGAGAGAGAGCGAGAGAGCGAGAGAGTCAGAGACCAAGTCATGGTCGGGGATATCTCTCTCGAGTATAACAGACAAGAATACCGTAAGACTATCAGGCATTAATGTCTGAGTAAGTGTTGAGGTTGCGGTACTGGTCGAAGGTATGGTCCCGCTGGCGAAGTAAGTCCAGGGGACGGAATGCTCCAGTAGTACCTGTTCTGGGTGGTGACGTAGTGAAACGTAGGAGGACCACTATTGGAACAGAACAGGGGGGGGGGTGATGCCGACGCTGTGTGCTAGAGGGGACTTATGGTAGAAGTCATGTCGGTCATCGGAGCCCTTCGACAAGCTGACGACAGCTGAGTGTTTTCGGATTACGGCAAGGGAAGTCCGTCTCCAGTCAGCCGTGTTATATGCTGAAATAATATCAAGGTCCAGTGAATGGAAGAATTCATCCTGTTCAGCTGTACGGTGTGCCCAGAGTTGTGGGACGCTGTAGTCCTTGGAGCTGTAGTGGTCAAGGAGAGATCGCTAAAAATTGAAAGAGAGAGCGAGTGAGGACAAATGGATTATGTGCGAATGTCAACTGTGATCAATAACTACCTCTCTGCATTTGTGTCATGTATCCTGTTGAATAAAATGTATGACGGTGTCATCATCGTCGAGTTCTGTTTCTAAGAGAGGAAGCGGAAGGGTACCTGCTAGACACCTGGTGGTGTGCTGACTAGTGGTAACTCATTTAGCACACAAAGTACATGTAAAAGACAATCCAGATTTAGTATTTACAAATTTGCCCATGTGGACAGGCACCACAACATACTAAACATGTGCTACAAACATGCTTTCTATATGCAATAGAAAGATTCCACTTTTGGCCTGTTAGCATTCAAATGTTTTTTTGTTTGTTTTAGTATCCAGAAGCCAATGAGTTGTTAACCCTTAGGCTCGGTATTGTAGGTACCGCAACCTTTCGGCCTTGATTCCATTGTAGATACCGTGAATCTGGGAGAAATGTGGCTTTTCTGCCTACCCCCGGGAGTGAGCCCGGACCACAAGGAGTTCGTCACCCGGTCATGGCGCAATCCGGTTTAGCCAACTACGCTAGAGAGCCGGGCGGCATTCCAATAAAAACAATACTGTGTGGCACAGCTGAAGATATTCGTCGCGACAGGGAAAATAAGAGAGGTAGCTGATTTGTAAGTTGGTTGATTGCTTCGTTGGCCGGCTGACTCTCTGACAGCTAGCTAACTGGTTTTGTAGTTATTCGGCACTGCACTTCCAACCATTGAGACAATGAATGTTTGAATCCCTTCCTAAGTGTACCTCTCGGAACCACGCCAATTCTGAATGTTGAATGTTGAATTAAGAATCGACATCACAGCACTCGAGACACCCCCACATGTGCTTGGTCCCCATTGTCAGCAGCAAACGAAGTGTTCCCATTCCAATGGTACCTGTAACCGTCTGATTGTAAACCCGTCTCATCCTTTACAGAGTGTTGAGCGTCTGCCAGATCCCCTGGTAACTCCTCGCAGCCCCTTTCTCCTCAGACCGTCATGATCTATCTGCGCCTCCTCACTGTTCCCCCGTTCCCAATGGGCCCTCACAATATCTAACTTATCATACATCAATCCACCACTAAGTGGTGCAGAGCCAGCTAGTCTATATGTCTGCTCATTTCCCAACACACCTGTAAAACCTGCAGAAAATATCCAAAGGATGCTAACTACCTGGGACCTCCGAAGTGGTGCTTGCCACTCTGCACGAAGCATGCCACACAAGTTCTATGTTTGTTTACTATATTACGTTGCACACTGCTCTTGTCTCTCAACGCGATATTGTTTTATTGTTGTTTGTGAGATGACCGGCTTCAAACCCAGCTGAAAGTACTAGTTTTCCGTCCATTTTATGGACGTTTTAAACCCCCCCCCCCCCCCTCAATCCCCATCCCCAATGTTTCTCCTGACCTGAGTTGAACATATACATCCGTTTCTATAGGTATGGATTACTTGTATGTAGACTGTAGGCTGCTGACCTGACTTCGACTAAACCCACGTACCTTTTCGTTGGTTCTTTTCCAGAAGATTGCTAGCACATATACGGCACAGATGGGAGGAGCCAGAAAGCTGGTGACACCCTGAGTGTAATTAACGAGATTAGTAACACTCTGTAGAACAGGGATCCAAACGATCCCAACAGCCACTAGGGCTAGCACGCACATTCTAGGCAAGGAAAGGAAACATGAATAATTAAGTTAGTCGCATGTAACATGGAGATAAGAACCGAGGTATATGCAGTATGTATGTTTTAGGGCTATCATGTGTTCCTGGTTTTGACGGTTTCAAGCATCCACCACCGACGACAGCCACCGCCAACTAGAGTAAAAGTACAAAAACTTTAGTGGTTGGATACTCACGAAGCGTCGCGCAGTCGGCGCTTTACACTTTTGTGTTTAGTGCACTGCCGCATTTGGCGCTTGAGATCTAATCAAAGCAGAAACACATTCGAGAATCGACAGTCGTTCACAGAAAAGAAGGTGGCGAAAAGAACGTTGATCAGTTTCGTCTGGCAGACTGTGAGCGTCGACCTCGTTGAACGAACGCGAGTCAGTTTTCTCCATAGCGTACATAGACAGGGAAGGAAGACATCTCATAACACCCCTAGAATATAGTACAGCCCGTGGGAACGGCCATATAATACAGCCCCCGAACGAGATCGGGTGACTTTCGTGAGTTGTACCTATAACACATAACTCAAACTTGATGAATAATGGGGTCGATATCACGCCGACTGTGTGTTTTTCCAGTACACGCCATGGTGATGCCCCGGCTGTCTCGAACCGGAATACCAGGTCTAGTGTGAAAATCAACTTCGGTGACGATTCAGTCCAAAGACTCTCAAGCTGGCAGGAAAGCATCTAGCCACTGCGCCACCACGGCCTTTAAAGTAAATAAGTAAAACCCCGTTAACATGAACTTTTCTGCGCATTTACCGGTTACAAACTCCGACGGAAAGTTCTGGTTTTTCTTTCACGTCTGGACTTCTGGAATCTTGTTCCAAGACTTGATTCTTGCGCTCACAATCTTTTGCTTTAGAGATCTTCCAAGTGGCGAGTCGTTATCAGTTTGCACGTGTAAGCGTTGAGAGATAACGACTGTACTTAAGTGGAGACCACTTGACATTTGCCTCCTCGTCGCTTCGCTGTTGAGAATATGCCGTTTTAGTTAGCATTTTTTTTACACATTACCTGCTAACATTCTCACGTTACAGTTTATGCATGAGTGACGCAAGCATGCAGTGAGTGTGCTTTTCGCTACGTTCGAGACATAAACAGTGATACATTTGTATAAATAGCAAATAGTGATAATAAACAGTGAAAATACTTTTCGTTGGCAATGGAAAGTGAAAACGGCGATTAACGATTGGCGCCGTCACATGCACCACTCGCAAGTGGACCAGGTTTATGTGAATGCAGACTGTTGGTTCTTGCCTCCGAGACAAATGCACTCTGACTTAGCAGGGCAAATCCCTTCTAGTTTACTTTTATGACATGCTTGTTGAGGGGCAGTGGATCTGTTCTGTCTCTCTCTCTCTCTCTCTCTCTCTAACTGCATTGATGGGCATGTATTGTTACAGTGTATTAGTCCCTTGTTAGCTGGATTTTTTTTACATTAACTCTGGAGTTTTTGATCCCTTGGAATTTATTTTAACGAGTTGTTGCTGTATTACTCTTTTTATTTAATCTTCTTCTTTTTTTTTTTTTTTGTTGTTGTTGTTCACTTGACATAGATTATCTATTTCTACAATGTTGTCTCTGGTATGAACTTCACTGTCTGTTTCAATTAAATCAGCGTCCCGTAAAGTTTGACTTGCACCGGTATGTCTCTTAACTAAAAGTTTTAATTTTATTTCAGCTGTTAATACAGTTGTTAAGGTATGCAGTGCTGTTCTTCAGTAACTGTAGGTATGGGGGTATGGCGTCCTTACCTTCCAACAATCATTAGCTCGACTTCAGTGGCGTTCTTTCTTACCCTCCTCCATATATCAATTGTAAAAATGGTACTGCTGCTATTGAAAATCGACGTCAAGGAGGAGATAAGGGCGGACATCATGACTGAGAGCATCAGGCCTCGTACGCCAACTGGCATGAGTTCCAACATCAAAGTGGGGAAGGCGATGTCTGCACAGCTATTTTGTTTACATACTGCTTGACACACTGCAGGATCAACGCAAGCTATCCTGTCTGAAAAATGATACTGAGTTTAAAACAACTAAACATTTACTAAGCACAATTTGTAAATTGTTAGATTCATTTCTCAGGAGCTCCCGCAGCGCAGGCGCAGTAGATGCTTTTCTGCTGGTTCGAAGATCTTGTGCTCGAATCCGATTTAAGGGTATATTTCTTTCATATAACCTTGGTTCTGTGTTGAGCCCAGCCGAAATTGGGTACATGAAATGTCCTTTCAAGTAACTGTGCCAGGCGTAGTGTTGACCACATTATTCATCAAGTGCCTTGGTATCATTCTCGCAGAAGTTAAACAGAGTCGGTAAATAAGTAAAAGTAAGTAAAGGACAATTTTCCACGCCTTTAAGCGTATTGGGCATATAGGGTTAGACATATTTTATAGAACAACTGACTCTTTTTATGTGATGTGGTCAGCACTACGCTGAACGTTTTTACTTCCCA